TAGTTTATTCCAAACTTCCAAAGATGTGGAGTAATACATATTCAATTCTACCATTTGTATCAAAGATCATCCAATTTCACATTTTCAATGTCAATTTTAATTGTTTATACAAAATAATAATTTGATTCAATTAGGGAAACCCCTCCCCAAATTTTTTCCAAATATCGACCCAAGCACCCAAATTCACCATTTTGACACAACATGAACATATTTGCAGTCCCCAAACCCATTTATTTCATATTTTCACATTTCATCCCCAAACCTTAGGTTTGGTCAAACCACTCTCAAATCTCACCATTGTTACACAATAACAAATAACTAAGCTAAAAACTATATGAGAGTGTAGAAAAAATACCTACCTCAAAGGAAGAAGATGAACCAAGCAAGAGTGAGAATCCAAGAACAACGAAACCCACTTTTAATCGGATCAAAATGAAGATCTTTATGTACTCTACCTTTTTCTCAAAGGCACTAGGGTGAAAAGGTCAACAGATCTAGATAAAATTTAAGAGAGAATGTGAGTTTTAGAGAGAGAAAGTGTAGATCTAGATTTTTGGGAAGTTTTAGAGAGAGAAAGATATGAAAAATTGATTCAAAATGTCATCTTCATAGACTTTTTTACACGCAGTTCGCTCGAGCGTAGAAAGTGACGCTCGAGCGTCAGACACAAAGTTTCGCTTGAGCGTAGAATACACATTTCCAAAAGTTTTGCAAACGAAGGACCCCGCTCGGGCGTGAGACTGTGTGCTCGAGCATCCAATGCACTCTCCCAGTATATGTAGAATTGTAAAAATGCTGGGAGTTGACAATTCCCGCTTGAGTGCAAGAATGCCCGCTCGAGCGGAGGAGCAAAATTTGAGAAGCCCGCTCGAGCGCAAGAATGCTCGCTCGAGCGAAAGAGCCAAAATCTAGGCATCACAAGTTTGGAAATACAAGCAATCAACCTATTCTAAACGCACAACAATAACCCGATAACCAAAATAAAGGGGAGACAAGGGAAACAAGATATGAATTATCATTCTAAACCATACTAACCCGAGTCTGGAACACAATAGATAACGGGTCAAAATCGGAATCGCTATAATAGCGTCACGAATAGTGTTTACCGTGACATCAAAGTGTCACTGAAAGTCTTTAGCCTTAATGGTGCAATAGCACTTACAAGTGTCACTAAAGTGCCACTAAATCTTTTTTTAATGGCACTTGATAGTGCCACAAATAATGTCTATCATGACATCAAAGTGTCATTGAAAGTCTTTAGCCATAATGGTGTAATGGCATTTGCAAGTGTCACTGAGGTGCCACTAGTATCTACCCTGAAATGGGTATAAATGGCACTTATTCAAAACGCCACAAGACTAGAAAATGTCACCGAAATAGTAATTCAGTGGCACTTTCAAGTGTCACTGAACTAAGAGAACACAAAATCATTTTAGAGTTTTGAGAGATATTGTACCATGGATATACTCAAAGCTCCATTCAAGCTCGGCAAGTTCAATCTGGTTCTTGCATATTGCTGTAGTGGAGAGGGGCGGAGAGAAAGGAACCAAAAATACAAAAATGTGTGTGTGAGAGAGAGAAATTCGTTTGTTCTCTATTTCTGTGTATTGGAAAGAGGAGAGAGAGAATGAACAAAAAGACTTGGTAAATAGAAAAACACGTGGAAGCGTCAACAACCACATATATTCTTTCATGATTTTCCATTATTAACCTCCAAAGTCTAACACCACAAAATATTAAAGAAGGGCAAAATAGACTTTTCAACCATTGCAGAAAATATTGTTCATCATTACTGTTAACTTCCCATCCATGCTCTATATATATTGTATAAAAGTGACAAGCAAAGTGTCCAATATGACTCATATTACAAGTTTTGCCAGGATCTTATTAACACAGAATAGTGACATTATAATTTCGCTTAAATATAATGAGTTGATTATAACAATTAAAAATAAATAGTGTATTTGATTTCAATTTTCTGAATTTAGTTTTCTGAAAATGTTTTTTGTTTTTTGTTTTTCGTATTTTTTTATTTTTAGTGAATATTTTTAAAATTTTAAGTAGTTTTTTAATATTTTTTCGGATACAGCTTACTTAGATATATTTGAATAGTAAAATATTTGTGAAAAAATATTTTTAAAAATTAATAAATACACAAAAATACGAAAAATGTATCTAGTTTTTATTTTTATTTTTATATTTTTAGTATTTAGTGAATTTTTTAAAGATTTTTTCAAACTGAAGTCTTCTCTCATTCTAGGACTCTTGTCCCTCATCCAGGTTGAGTTCCCTTTTCATTCTAGGACTCTTGTCCCTTATCCACTTATCTCGGATTCCGGTATCTTCAGAGATAACCTCGGCTTTTGACAAGATAACCTCGGCGTCACAACCTGGACACGTGGCACTTCGGCTGACACGTCGGCGTCACCTTGCCACGTGTTGGTATTCAGAAAATACATCCCCACAACTGCCCCCTAGGTTCTATTACCTCAGTATTCTGAGGTGATGGAACCTATATATGTATTGTTTTCTTAGTACCTCGGCGTAAGAACTCTTCGGCTGAGATTGTCAAGCCGATATGCCTTGTTTTCAAGAACAAGAACTCAAATGAACTTTCCCACGCGCATGAGCTGTTATGCATTACTTCTCAACCGTTTCACTTACGCGTTTTTACCTTATTGGTCCGTGCCTGCGACGCGCTTATTAGCCGTCTTAATCTGTCTGCACCGTCTGGCGTATGCACTGCTCCAGGCGCATTGATTACCTTTTGCCGCCGTTTTTGGTTTTTGACAAAACCCTTCCTTTCCTTCTTCGTTTCTTTACTTTTGCACTTGCTGTTTCTTTCTCAAAAACTCGTTCCTTCGATTCCGCCATTGCTGAAGCCTGCAAGCTCTATATTTGTCTTCCTAGTGGAACTTTCGTCATTCTGTCACATCTGTAACTTCCGTTGACTTCGGCAGCCCTTACATCGGCTTCATTCTTCCTGGTAAGCAACAGTTCCTTCTGATTCCCAATTTCTTCTATGTGCTTTCGTTTACTTACTGCCATTATTGCTTTGTTTCAAACCTTTGATTTGCTGAGTTATTCATCTGGATGCGTCTATTCCATGATTTCACTCATATTTTGAACACTTGTATTGTTTCAACACTTTTCTTGCCACTGTTCTTGACCTTTTACTTCTGTATTCTTCATGTTCTTGATAGCCCATTCCTGTTCTTGTTTCTGAAATTTCACCTTTGTTTTCTGTTTTTTGTGTCTTTGCCAGATCTCTGCCTTCTTTTAATTTTTGCCCCCATAGATTTAGGTTTGGGATTTGTCTATAGAACCTGTCAATTCTTAGGAAAAAACTGAAACAATCCTTACCAGTATATACCTAGGGTTTCGCCGAGGTCCTGATAACCTCTTTAGAGCATCTTCTTTCTGAAACCTAGCCTTCTGATTTTAGGCCGACGTTATGGGTATGTGGAAACATAGGGTAGACACCCCGACCAAACTTGAGTACTTTAGGCAAGAGTTTTCTATTCCTGCCGATGTCCATCTGAGGCTAGCTGAAGATAATGACTCTATCACGCCCACAGATGATTCAATGCCCTTTCCTATAGTAGCTTTTACTGAGTGCGGACTCCGGCTCCCACTTAACATTCTCTTTCGCGAAATTCTTCACTTTTACAAGTTGAACCCTATGCAACTTGCCATAAACTCTTATCGAGTGATCAATGGCATCATAGCTTTAGCTAGGCAAGAGAACGCTAGGATCACCCTGGCCGACATTCAGTACTGTTATACCATGTGCCTCCTTAACCTGAAGGAAAAAGGCTTCGTTTATTATCTTAAGCCGAGGTCAACAGAATACAAAATCGTAGCCGACCTCCCAGACTCCAACAAGAGGGCTGGAGATGACTATGTTATTGCTTCGGGCAATTGGGAGTTTGGCGCAGACGAGGACGCCCATCTCTACCCTCTTCCCCGATCAGTTAAAGAGGGCAAGGGTAAGAGTCCAGTGTCAATATTTTAGTTGTTGCTGTTTAAGTCTTCAATATTTTATCTGTTTCTAATGTCTGTTTCTTCTTGCAGACGTTCGCAAGCCACCAAAAGACTTTCGCCAATCCTACATCCCCAGTAGAGACTTAAAGAGGCTCCTAGATCTGCCAATCCAAAAGCACAAGGCTCCACTGGTACTGAATTTCATTCCGATGTACAAGTCTACACTGCCCGACGTCCCAAAGAGAAAGAAGAAAAGCCTTTCTCCACCTACTGCCACAACTCAAACCGTCTCCTCATCACGAACAGATCAAGAGTCAACATTTGACCCAACCAATCAACCATCTACCTCGGCCCCGTACTTAGTCCCAATACCGGAAAGAAAACGTCGGCGACGACTTGTCAAAACTGCTGAGATGGGTCGTCCGAAGCCTGTTGCTGTAGACCTCTTAGCCGACCTACCTGTCGACGTTGATACTGCTCCGACTCAATCCATGCCCCCACCAAAGCCAAAAAGAATTAAAAAGGCTCAGCCCAAGGCCAAAGCCACTGAGGTTGAGGCTGAGGATGCTCTGCCCATCTCACAATTGGCTGAGAGTAAAAAGAGTGCTTCTGCTTCTGCAAAAAGGTCTGCTGAGGCCCAGCCATCAGAGTCCACCCAATCAAAGAAGCCGAGGTCATCGTCTGCGACGACCTCGGGCTCCAGAATACCAAAAGTCCCCTGGACACCTGAGATCAGCCTGTCCTTGCCAGCGACAGCGCTGATGATATAAACGTCGGCGTGGCACTTAGTACTGCTTTATGCAGCAACGCTCTGTCCAAGTAAGTGCCTTTGTGCTGAAATTTGTTTTCTTTCTTACTTTGTAAAATTTTGTAACAATTTATGCCTTGTGTTCTTTCAGGCCATCCAACATGCCCGCTCTCTCTCCATGCAAGCTTTTGAAAATCGGCAAAGATTGGCCGACATGAAGAGGGAGGTTTCTGCCCTGAAAAAGGAGAACAAATCTCTCGAATCAAAGATGAAAAAACTGGAGGACCAAGCTGAGGCCGCCACCAAAGCCCAAAGTCTAGTCGAGGAAAAAGCTGAATCTGCTGAGGCAATTAAGAAGGTCGCCGAGGCCGAGAAGAAAGAGGCCGAGGACAGAAAGGCCCAAGCTGAAAAGGAGCTGCAGGAGGCTCTGGCCACCAAGGATGTCGAAATTAAGGAGGCCAACGAAAAAGCATACGCCCAGGGTATGGCTGACGTCATTGAAGAATACAAACTTCAGGTCAGGCAGGCATGCAACAGGGGCTTCTCCCTTGGTTGGATGTCCCTGATAAAGAAACTTGATCTTCCTACTGATTCACCCTTCCGCAATGCCGATGCTATCCCTCTTCCCTTCCCACCACCTCCACCTCCAAGTCAACCTGAGGATGCTTCTGAATCTGAGGATGAAGATTGAGGTGAGGACGAGGATGAGGCAGAAATTTTGGTAAGGAAACCCAGGGAGACTGTTGGGGCTAAGTCTCCTTCTCTGAATGAGCAGGTCTTGGACCTGACTCAAGATGAAGATGGTGATGCAGTTGCCAAGGAAGTTACCCCAGAGCAGGGTTCGTCCGACGTTCCTCAGGTCAACAAGAGTATTGACGAAACTCTTGCCGAGATTGATGCTGAAATTGCTGTAGATAAGGAAGCCGAGGTATCTCTTTAGGAGACCTCTGAAGTTCAGATCCAGCCAGATGTTGATGTTGAGAAGTCTTAACTTTCATGTCTTTTCTTTTGTACCCTTGTACTTTGTTTTGTTTTCTGGACAATGTAAGCTTCCTCTCATGGCCGATGTGCCTTTCTTTGTTACTTCGAAACAATTTACTTCTGGTAGGCCATAGTGCCTTCTTTTGTATACAACTGCAACTGTTTTTCTATGGATGCTTCAATTTTTTAATTTCTCTTGATTTGCTTCTGCATGGTTCTATACTTAGAATATTTTGTATGCCTTTCATATCTTGTCACCTTTGTGCAATCTTCTCGGGGTCACATATCTCGGGTTTAATAACTACAAGTTTTACTTCGGCAAGATACTGACCTGCAAACTTTTCATAAGTTTCAACAAGTGTAAGACATATACTACTCAATGTTAACTTTGCAAACTTTTTCTCAAGTTATAACAAGTGTTTAAGCAATGATCTACTTGTAAATTGCTACAGATTTCAACAAGTGTTTAAATAATATACTTAGCTTTTACCTCAACCTACAAATTGCTGCAAATTTCAATAGATGATCACATGTCGGCTTAACATTATCTTGTAAATTGTTACAAATTTCAACAAGTGTTAAGCATCTTCCAGCTTAACTTCAACTTCTAAATTGCTACAAATTTCAACAAATGAAGATAAGGAACCAGCTTAACTTCAACTTGTAAATTGCTACAAATTTCAACAAGTGGATTAAGGAATACTCTGTCTTCTCTCTGCCCCCAATGTGAACCTGAGTTCTACTTGGGTTCTCATTATTCATGTCTCCAAAAACGCCAATATGTAACTTTATCAATCGTATGTATTTTAAAGAAAAGGGAAAAAAAATTATTGATGACATCGGCCAGAAAATACTGCTCATCTAATGATAGAAGAATTTCAAATTACAAGTGTTCTAAGGTCTTGGTAGTGCTTTGCCCTCATTATCTTCAAGCCGATAAGCTCCATTGCCTAATACCGAAGTAACTCTGTAGGGTCCTTCCTAGTTTGGGCCAAGCTTTCCCTCTCTGGGATCTTTCTTGTTGCCGACGACTTTTCTCAGGACTAGGTCGCTGACTTGAAAATCTCTTGGATTGACCTTCTTGTTGTAAGCTCTAGCAAGCTAGGAATCAGCTTAACTCCAACTTGTAAATTGCTACAAATTTCAACAAGTAAATTAAGTGTCTCTGTCTTCTCTCTGCCCCCAATGTGAACCTGAGTTCTACTTGTGTTCTCATTATTCATGTCTCCAAAAACGCCAATATGTAACTTTATCAATCGTATGTGTTTTAAAGAAAAGGGAAAAAAATTTATTGATGACATCGGCCAGAAAATACTGCTCATCTAATGATAGAAGAATTTCAAATTACAAGTGTTCCAAGGTCTTGGTAGTGCTTTGCCCTTATTATCTTCAAGCCGATAAGCTTCATTGCCTAATACCGAAGTAACTCTGTAGGGTCCTTCCTAGTTTGGGCCAAGCTTTCCCTCTCTGGGATCTTTCTTGTTGCCGACGACTTTTCTCAGGACTAGGTCGCTGACTTGAAAATCTCTTGGATTGACCTTCTTGTTGTAAGCTCTAGCAAGCTATACTGCGAGCTGAATTGCAGCTTTCTCTCTTCGTTCTTCCAGAAGATCTAGATCTCGGGCTAAGATTATGTTATTGGTGTCATTCTCTACTCCCTGGGTTCTGATCCCCGGGATGCCGATCTCCAATGGGATGACTGCTTCTGTGCCATAAGCCATGGCAAAGGGGGACTCCCCTGTTGATCTTCTCGGCGTAGTCTGATATGCCCAAAGCATGTTGGGCAACTCGTCTACCCACTTTCCTTTTGCTGCCTGCAGCCTCTTCTTTATTTCATCCAAAATTACTTTGTTGGATGCTTCTGCTTGCCCATTGCTTTGGGGAAAACTTGGTGTTGAAAAGTAGTTCTTGATCTTGAATTTTGTACAAAAGTTCTTGATGAGTTTGCTGTCAAACTGTGTTCCGTTGTTGACAACTATTGCTCTTGGAATCCCAAATCTGGTGATGATGTTTCTCCATATAAAGTTCTTGACGTCCACATCTCGGATTTTGGCAAGAGGTTCTGCCTCTATCCACTTCGTGAAGTAATTTGTTGCTACCAGCAAGTATTTTCTCTGCCCAGTTGCTTGGGGAAGTTGCCCAATAAGGTCCATGCCCCATTGGGCAAACGGCCAAGGGCTGGATACTGGGTTCAGGTCAGCAGCTGGCTGATGTATCAAAGGTGCAAACCTTTGGCATTGTTCACACTTCTTCACATAGGTTTCAGCATCCTTTTGCATGTAGGGCCACCAATACCCCAGGGTAATGGCCCTGTGGGCTAATGATCTGCCCCTAGCGTGGCTTCCACAAATTCCTTCATGAATTTCATATAGGAAATCTTCAACCTGCAAAGGGTGTACGCACCTTAAAAGGGGTCCAGTGAAGGACCTTCTGTAGAGGTGTCCATCTGTTGTTAAACAAAATCTTGCCGATTTCAATCTGACTTTGTGTGCCTCCTTATGATCTTCTGGCAGCTTTCCTTCTTTCAGAAATGCAACAATTGCATCTATCCAGCTTGGCCCCATACCCACACACATTGCTTCCTGTTCTGTGCTCTCTGGTTCTATGCTCGGGCCCGACATATAGTCGATCATAATTGTTCTTGTTTTTCCAGTCTGCATTGAAGTTGCCAGGTTAGCCAACGTGTCGGCGTGGGTGTTGTCATCTCGGCTAACTTGGAGTAATCGGCAGTTCTGAAATAGGGCTGCCAATCTGATGACCTCTTTTGCATATGCCGACATCCTTTCGTCCCTGGCTGCAAATTCACCTGGTGACTGGTTAACAATAAGTTGTGAATCACAAAAAACTATTACCTCATCTGCTTCTGCTGCTGCTGCCAGTTTTAGCCCTGCAATTAATGCTTCGTATTCCGCTTCATTGTTTAAGGCCTTGAACCCCAAACGGATGGACTGTTCTATTATTTATTCATCTGGAGATATCAGCAGTACTCCTGCCCCCGCTTCTTGTTGGTTCGAACTTCCATCGACGAACAGTCTGAATGAATCGCCGATGTAGATGCTGCAGGGTCTGAGTTTTTCCTTTCTTTGCTCTTTTGCCCTAGGCTGGGATTCTCCTTGCTTGCTGGGACAGTGCTCATCCTGGCTCAACGGAGCCCAATGTTCGATGGTTTCGGGTGTGAATTCTGCCACAAAGTCGGCCAAAACTTGGCCTTTAATTGTTGTTCTCGGCCTGAACTCCAGGTCATACTGGCCCAGGGCTACTGCCCATCTTGCTATCCTTCCTGTTAAGTCTCCTTGTTACAACAAGGACTTCAGTGGGTGTTCTGTTAGGACCACAATCTTGTGCGCCTGAAAGTAATGGTTCAACTTCTTTGAAGCCATTACTAAGGCTAGCATTAATTTCTCCAGTGGTAGATACCTTGTTTCTGCATCGGCCAAGGTTTTAAATAGACAGCTTTTTGCTCCCATTTTTCTTCTCGGATTAGTACTGCACTGACTGCGTGTTCTGAAACTGCCAAGTATAAAAACAGTTCTTCCCCTGGTTCTGGATTGGAAAGAACCGGAGTTGTAGTCAAGTACTTCTTCAGGTCGGTTAGAGCGGCTTCGCATTCTTCTGTCCACAGAAAGTTTGTGGCTCTTTTCACCAAGTTGAAGAAGGGTCTGCACTTATCTGAGCTTCTGCTGATGAATCTGTTTAGGGCTGCGGCCCTTCCAGTAAGCATTTGAACCTGTTTTGCTGACGTCGGGCTCTGTAGCTCTAGGATGGCTTTGATTTGGTCTGGGCTGGCCTCAATGCCCTTTCTTGTTACCAGATACCCTAAAAACTTACCTGATCCAACTCTAAACGCGCACTTTGATGCGTTGAGTCGGAGCTGGTATGTTTTGAGTATATCAAAGACCTCTTTTAGGTCGGCAAGATGACCCTTAGATTCTTTGGTCTTCACGACCATGTCATCGATGTAGACTTCTACCGTTCTGCCAATCAGGTGCTTGAACATCTTTGTTACTAACCTTTGGTAAGTTGCTCTTGCGTTTTTCAACCCAAAAGGCATTACCTTGTAACAGTACAGGCCTTTAGGGGTGATGAACGCGGTCTTCTCCTCGTCTGGAGGGTGCATGGAAATTTGGTGGTACCCCTTGTATGCATCTAAAAAACTCATCCTTTCATGCCCTGAAGTTGCATCTACTAGCTGGTCAATCTTGGGCAGAGGAAAGTTGTCTTTGGGGCAGGCTTTGTTGAGGTTGGTAAAGTCTACACAGACTGTCACGACCCAAACCCGGCCTTATGGGTTTAGCACCGTAACCGGCCAGCAATCCGAGATTACCGAAGGCCTACAGAACAGTAATACAGTAAAACAGAGTACAGGGCCTGGCGGAAGCCAATACAGTAAATGAATAATGTCCATTGAGCTGTGTCAGTCTGTATGCCAAAAAGATTTTTCATGCATTCACGTATACAAACAGTACAGTCTACACAAACTTATAGTCACACAGTACAGGGACCTAATCCCTTGATAACAGTACGGTTAGCAGTTAACAGTCTATACAGTAATCCAAACAGTATGGAGACAGACGGGGGAAAAACAAGACACCCCAAAGCCATAGCATGGCAACTCGGAACCTCTCAGTGAGGCACAAAGGCTGGCTTGACAAAACTGGAGTCTAACCCACGCTCCTAGCTCCGATCTGGCGGCTGAGCACCTACATATATATATAAACAGTGAGCTAAAGCCCAGTGAATAACATAATGCATAAAGGGGTTATGAATGAAATGTCCTTACAGTAATGAAATCAGTTCATTAAACAATACTTCAGTCTTTCAGTCAGAACAGTTATTCAGTCATATGTGGTACATCCATTAGCATAGCAGTAAACAATAGGTCTTAAAGACCGAATAGTAATGATGGCCATCAGTCAGTAAACAATAGTGGTTCCGCGAGGGAACCGACAGAGATCTCTG